ATGCCATACTTTTATGGAACACCTGCGCAAATCTACGCAAACGCTTACTCACTTGAGGGGGGATGGGTGTTCTAGTGATGTAGGGGGAGGGGTGATTTCGTGTAATAGTAGGCGCTAAACATATTCTTTTTTTCCAACATTTTATTTCATATTCTGCTAGGGTATCTGTAGCAACCAATAATGTCTATTGTGGACATGGTTTTGGCGGTAAAGTTATGCATAATATATAAAACTAAATCTTGTTCAACCCAATTAAGAGACGTGGTCTTGTGTCCTCTGCACTGCAGGCGCTTAAATACCTTGGAGCTATAGTCTGCTTAAATGCCCCCTAGGGGCGGTGCAATACTGCGGCAAGACTTCCATCTGTCTTACATTTCCGCAGTGTCGGTATAAAGTAAGAAACATTTTTTTCTGTACTACATTTTTGCTGTTTCAATCCGATATCGTTATCGTCAATTTCATTTATGCAACGGCGGTATCGAAAGCTCTCACTAATATTGGGGTTATTTTGAGTGTATAAAACTTCTTCAGTTTAAAGTGCTGACAAAAAATGAAAGGAAAAGTTGGGGAAAAGGAAAATTAATGAAATAGAAACGTTTAAGTCAGGATGGAGGTATCTAGTCGTGTTTTATTTGGGTAACGAATAATCCTAATCGTTCCTTGATTCATGATTCTCATAGGCATCATAGTTGGTCAGTCATTACATTTAAACGAGTTTCATGAACCATTATAAAGTAGCCATCCATTGGAGGCCGTGTCAAAGGGCGTTAAACTGGATGCGTTACCTTGTTAGAAGTAATGAGGTCAGTTAGAACAAATGGGCTGAACTGGATTAACAGCAGGACGTTAACAAATCGATTGCTTCTCTTAACTGCTTTTGGTACAAGACCAGATGGTGAACACGTTGAAAGGATGACTTTGAAATATTTTCAAAATTTTTCATATCTGAACTTTGCTCTGTCACATACGCAATGGGGGACGACACAGAAAGTGAAGGCGTCTCGATGAGGCAGATCTGCTTGCTGTGAGGAATATGGTAATTGCCGCACCGGAGAATATGATAGAATATGAATCACTAATACCCACTGTAACAGTCAGAAAACATGAACTTGGATTACTCTGCTGTTTAAGTTTTGTTAACTTCAAATGACGATGACTCAGTGAGACCGAAATGCCACTGATAGAACGAAATAATTACGATTAATTGGACAGTGAACTTCTAAGCCGCTAAAATGATCATGTATAAAGGACTTAATTTTTTTGTCTGTAACCAAATTACCACTGTTTAGAGATTTCAAAAGAGACCGAAGAAACGGGTGAAAATCGTCCCAGCAGAAGTGACCGCGATGTACTTGGTATTTAAATGTCCATTGATCGTTTGCCTATCATTGCATCGTTTGTTTAGATTATTTTACCGTTTGGTCTCAGTGGACGGACTGGAGTCAATGCCAGCAAAGTAAGCAAATGAGGGTCAGAGGCTGCGTCACTGTGCCAGGGAAGAAATGTCCCGGTTCCAATTCAGAGTTACGGCAGTGCATCGAGGAGAGGTTTAAAAAACCGGATTACGCTTTGCAGACCCACTACTTTGAATTCTTACGCCGGAATCTAAACGAAAGGTGGGAACAATTAACCGATAAATAATCGATTGTTTTCTTTCGCCGCATAGAGCAGAAATGTCACTTG